GTTAGTAACACCATTTGCGAAATCCCAAACAAGGTCCGCAGTCTCGAACGCAACGGTTACAGTACGATCCGGGCCGCGGTGGTGACACTCGTGAAATATGAGCCTCGCCGCTGCCATCAAAACTCTCAAGTCATCTTCCTTCATCACATGGAAATCCGTACTCTCACCTCCACACACACACACACACACATGCACATTTAGAAGCTGAAAGTTTTTGCGCTCAGAGAACTCATAAACCCTAGTCCTCCTTGCAGACGGGCAAGCTGCAGCAGACTGTAGCGAACTCCATTGAGAGAACTGGTCGGGGACTCCATTCTGGCGGTGTATTCACCGTTAAGATTCTGCCGGCGGCCGCTCGCTCCGGTCGGTGCTTCATCTTCCGGTCAGCTGTTATTCGTGCGTCCATTTTTAACGCTGTGAAAGATACTCCTCTGTGCACTACGCTTTCGCACGATGGGCACAGTGTACAAACCGTGGAACACCTGCTCTCGGCTCTGGAGGCCTCTGGTGTTGACAACTGTCACATAGAGATTGGGGTGTCTGGCGATTATGATGGGTCGGGTGAGGTAGTAATTGCTGATTATTATTTAGTGATGAAATGATATTTTGATCTGAATTCACGAGTATTGCATTAGTGAATGGTTGATGGTTTAACATTTGTTACCATCATCAATTGGGAAGGCTATTTGGCACTTCCGTGTTCCTGTTCAATTTATTCATTATATTTAAGTAATTTATTTTCAATTTAGTAGTAGGAATTTGTACTGTTTTAGCTTTTGATTTTACTTGAAATGGATTGGCTTGGATGTTTGAAATTTTCTAATGACGGAAATTGTATTGGCAATATTATTGGAAGTTAGAATTTTGAGGAGATGGTGAAACCAAGCTTTACATGTTAGAGAGTGTCACAATCTGAGGATTCTAGATGAGATGCCTTGGGTGAGATCATACCCGCTATTTGAATAGAAAGAGAGATCAGACTGTTATTAATGCCTAAAACTGCCATATCTATAACCAATCTGCAATGTGACTAAGTCTAGTTATATTCTTTTAAGGAAACTGGGAAAGTCACAGTGTAATATGCCTTGGGAAATTATTTACTTTTGTTGGTGGTTCAATCAAAACATTCATGTTGGCCCATAATTCAGCCTTGTAATGTGAGCCTTGTAATGTGATGATTGCTGAATTCAATTCACTCACCCTACAATTTCACCTGGCAATATTAGAAAACATCACCATCTTTTTTGCTTTGCTTTGTTATATGCTTGTTTGGTATAGATTCTCTCACTAACAGCAGACCATAACTCCTGAATGATAGTTATTGCCCCCAAGATGTTTCTCGATTAGAAAGAACATAAGATTGATAATTATTGATATCTTACGAATCATAATAATCAGGTTCCTATCTTTGATGGGTCAGCAAGAGAATGGGTGGAGGCAGTCAATCAAGCAGGACTGAAGGTGGCTGTAGACAGTGGTGGTAGAAGTTGTGAAAAACTAGCACCATATCTTAGTGAACCTGTTCACATGATGAAAAATGATTCTTTCATAGCAGCATTCCCTTATCCAAAAGTCAATATTTCGTATGGTATTGACTACCCACAGGTAACCTATTTTGATGCCTTGACTAGCAGTGTTGTTTATTACTTTCTTCTTTTGAATAAAAACTCTAAAATGGCCATGGGACTTGTGCTCTTGTTGATTATCTTGGCCAGGTGCCATAATTGATGACATTAATGTCAGACTATTGTACATCTATTTATCATGCTTTGAATCTTATAAGGGTCCAGAAACTTAATTAAGGAAGTCTAGGTACAGTTAACCATGTGTTTGTGATTGCAGGGTGGGACACAAAAATCCATGATTTTTATATTCAATTCATGCTTGTGTAACTTACAGTCTTATAAAAGTATTCTTTCAGGCACCTGAAATTGGACGTCAGTGGTTCTCATCGACCTTGTTGGATGAATCTTTCTACTCTGAAGCAATAGCTCAAGCGAGGACCTTTTGCCTATATGAAGAGGTAAGTTTTCCTTTTTGCGGTGCCTTTTGTATTTATCTGTTCTGTGTTTAATAATTTATTTACTAGATGTCTGAGACATGTCTCTGTACTGTAGGCTGTAGCTTATTAAGAAACTCTTCTCCACCATGAGTTTCAATTGGCAGACTAGTTCTAATTCTCTATTGTCATAGTCTGTAAATTGTTGAATAATGACAGTTTTGGTAGAAGCATAACTAGCTTTTTTTTTTATTCCCGTTTATTTTTCCCCCACATGCAGTCACCTGGGAGTATATATTTCTCTTTATGTCAATGTTTTTACTGAGAAGATTATCTGTATTCTTTTCCATGTTTGTGAAATGACTTCTATTATGACCCTTTGGTGGAAGCCAAACTAGCTTTCTTCCTTTATTTTTTTCTCCTGCATGCAGCCACTTGCGAGTAGATTCTTATTTTTATGTCCATGTTTTTACTGAGATGTTTATCTATACTCTTTTTCTGGTGATTGTGAAACCACACTTTTATTCTTGAAATATTTAAATGCTTTTTCTTTCCCGAATTAACAAAACGTATCTTGTAAATATGGTGAATTTCTAGTGTGTGAAGAAGGAAATCCTTGCAGGTGGAACACATGCGAAATTTAGGACTCATCAAAGGGGGTTCGACCGAGACCGCCATCATATGTAGGTGAGACTTGGGAGATACGTATTATTGTTCTACACTTCTACTTTAAGCTGCTGGGGATTGTAATTATAGATTTTTAATTAATTCCTCTGGTTCTGTGGTAACATCTGGCTTTCTTATGGACTGGTATGTAACTGGGTTTTTCACCTCTTGAAAAAAAAAGAAAGAAAGAAAAACTATGCTCATGTCCGATATGATCTTCATGAGTTAACTTTTTTGTTGGATTAAGTTATTGTATTTCTTGAGTTAACTAGGTTCTGAAGTGGTTTGGTAATCATTATAGCATAGATTTCCCATGTGCAGAATTAATGAAATAGAACTTATTGATTTTTGATCCTTGATGAAATAAAATTATGATGGCAGTTTCATAATATTCATGTTCTTTAGTGTTAGCCACTCTTATCATTTGGAGTCACTAATAAGGAAAAATCAGCGATTAAAAAAGCGTTTCTATGGTGTGAGGTGAGGCTTGGGCGCCTTGATTGGCGAGCTGGCCTTGCGATAGGCGTCGCCAAAGTGCGCACCACAAAGAACTATGCGAGCGTACATGTAAAGAATATTAGGGTTACGGGTTTGATATGTCATTCTTAATTACACAATTTCTCTCCGACAAAACCCTAAATTAGTTTGTGCCTTTTCTTCACCTGTCCAAGGCAAACTGATTCCGGCGGTCTTCTGGCGACAGGTGAAGGCTGAGACAGGTACGTAGTTTTCCTTTCTTTTAAGCTTTATCCCTTCTCTTTATTGGCCCTTATCCCTTCTTTTCTCTGTATCTGTCTGATTCACTTATTCCCAGTGATAGACGTCGCCAGCTGTGTCGCCGCTGAAGGTGAAAATCGGGCTGTGCGGCTGGCACCTGGCAGTCCTCTGTTACTGGGAGCTGTGCTGTTGCTGGGACTGAATTCAGTTTTTTCATTTACTCGTTACTCTATTAGATTATAAAATCTGGGGGGTAATTTTTAAGTTTTTCATATTGGGCCGCCTTGCTTCAATTGGGCGAGTGCCTTGCGTGAACCTTGGCAAATAGGAGGCTTGTCACTTTGGCTTTCCGCATGTCTTTTTAATCATGGGAAAAACATAAAGAGAAGTCTCCTTATTAATGTTAAATCCAGGACATTAATACGATCTTTGATTTCTGGGTCTTCATCATGCATGCTTAGTTGAATAGTTGTTTTATATTGCTACATTTTTCATTAGGTGGCTACATGGGATGTGAAATAAGGGAGTTTGTATTTAAACACCAATCCTGGTTACGCTACTTAAAATGCAGATAGAAAAAGCTTGAGCTCCATCATGCGTATTGGTTTGCACACATGCAGGCATTATAGATTCAGTTATTTTCAGAAGCAAGGTAATGAGCAGCAAACGTATATAAATGAATAAATAATATATATAACTTTTTTGATATGTTAATGTACATGAATACATGCATACTGATGACTGAGAAATGTCAACTGTAATGTGTCTGAGAGTTCTCCTTGCTTGTAAATGATTTGTTTGTGCGCTTTCAACCACCCCTTATACATGCATATGGTTATGACTGAGAAATGTCAACTGTAATGTGTCTGAGTTGTCCTTGCTTGTAAATGATTTGTGTGTGCACTTGCAGCATGAATAAGGGATGGTTGAATCCACCTCTACGTTATGAGGATGAGCCTTGCAGACACAAGGTTTTAGATCTTATTGGTGATATGTCCCTTTTGGCTCAGGAGGGTAATCAAGGTCTTCTGGTGGCTCATATTGTTGTTTATAAGGTGCGTGCCTTTTTGCCGTGACCCCTAAAAATCATTACCGTGAAGAAGCTATATTATATCTGCATCTGCATCTATCTTGAAGACTAGTGTTTTTTTTTTTTATTTGAAAATCGGAACTTGCGAAATTTCATGTGCTAGTTATCTAGCAATTCCTGAAGATGTCAAAAGCATGAGTATAAATGGTGCACATTGCCAAATGCCAAGTGAAGAAAGGGAAACAAAATTTATGTGCGCGCTTAGGTGCATTGCATTTGTGCCATTGTGTGCAGAACCCAAAGGCTCATGCCTTCATGTGCCACAAGAGATAATTACAAATATTGACTTGTACTTTTGACAACTATAGTTTATGCATGACAGGGTGGACACTCGCTGCACACGGAGTTTGTTCGTCATCTATCAGGAAATGGTTAAGAGAATGAGGTCTGATACGCACAAGCTCAGAGCTTTGGACCTAAGCTTGGAGTTGATGTGACAGTTAAAATGGCTTGAAAAAGATAGGTTGCTTTATTGTTTCTGTGTTTAGACTATGCCTACTCATCAGCAGTTTTATCACTTGTAATATGGTGGGATTTTTAGACATGAATGAAGTAGTTTCTAGTTTCATATTGTTGTTATCTCTTCATATTACCCTCCCTTTTTTCATTGTAGTGTTATTGTTTCTTCATATTGCCCCCTCGCTTTTTTATGCCAAAAATGTGTACAAGATTCTTCAATTTTCAAACTTCATAGATGATCCAAAATGATAATTATGGGTCATATGTCACAATCATACGTTATGGGTGAATCTTTTGGCTTGCAATGTGCATGCACACAAGTGACATTGAAACGAATCTTATCGATGTTTAGTAACTCATGTATATTCATTTACAATTTCAAATAAATGTCATTTTCCTAACAGTTTTTCTACTCTTTCATTTCCATTTTAAGATAATTTTTTTTTTTTTATCCAATTGTAAGCAGTTCTCAAAGAAGAGAAAAGGCTTGGGTAGAAGGCTTTTTTCACGGTACTAAAAGTCGTGTTAGGAGCTAGGTGGCATTCGGGCACCCCAATTTTTTGCTAGACGGCCGTTCTAGGCACTAAGACAATTAGGCACCCCTACGCGGACAAGGAGCCACTTAGTTGGTCTAGGTAGTTAAGAAGTTAACGCCTAGACTGTTTAGGTTGTCTAGATGGCGAACTAAGTGGGACTGGTGCTGCCTAGGCGCCTGTATAATTTTTTTACATGCTTTTATTTTTTTAAATATAATACAAAAATATTTTGATTTTATACATAAAATATACATTAAGTATAAAAAAAAAAAATAATTATGTATAATAATATAATAATTATAAGTATATAATATTTTTGAAAATATTTGTATTTAACCTTAATTACCAATTAGTATATTTTATAAAATTTATTTTGTAAGTTATGCATAATTATAAGATAAATAAATTTATTATTTACAACCTCATTTAGAAGCTCTAACTTCTAGGCCTCAGCTCACCGCCTAATGAACGCCTAGCATCTTTTAGAATTTTCTATTTTTTGATTGTATTTTTATATTTTTAAACTTCTTTATTGGACTATATTAGTATTTATATGTCCATAACAATTAGTGCAATAAGTACGAGTATGACATAATCAGTAGGATGAAATGAGGTAAAAAATAAAATAATAATAAAAAATGAATGAAATAAGTTTTTTCATAGATGAGCTTGGTATTTTAAAGGAATGAGATGTGATAGAAATATATATTTTCATCTCATAATATTACACTGCCATTAAAAAATTATTTTCAATTGTGATATTAATGTTATTTTTCTTATTTATGTTAATATTAATATTTTAAAAATTTTGTACTATATTTGCAATAAATAATTTTATATTGTTACACTCATCTTATCTAATAAATAAGAAATTTATTATTTATGTAAATTAATTAGAAGAAATATGTCATTAGATAAACCTTTATTAACGTTTATGATTGTAGCAAGTTTTAAAACCCGGACCAAACCGGCGGGTAGAGCCCTGACTAGGACCGGTCCGGGTGAGTTGTTCGGACCGAGTAGCAAGGGACCTGGTCAAACCCGGTGGACTCGGCCTTGACCCGATGGACTCGATCTTGACCCGGACGATCTGAGTATTGACCCGTTGACCCGACTCTTATTTTTTTTACCTTTTTATTTTTAAAAATAAGTTATGCATATATGGTAAATAATTATGATAAATTATAATATTATTAAGACTTTGGGGTAATAAAATTTACATATAAATAATTTATTTTTATTAAAATTTGATTTAAAATTTATAAAACTAATTTTCCGTTTCAGCAGTTGACTCGGTGACCCGACGGTTGGACCAGTGACCCAAAGTCCAGCATGGGTGAATCACTGGTTCGATTATAAAACTATGGTATATAAGTAAAAACAAGTTATTAATTTCTAAATAAATATATATAAGAATTATTTATATAAGAATAGATGCATATACAATGAGAAACTATTTTAAATTATTTTCTATACATTTTATACAATTTAGTTCTAATACAAATATTTTATATATCTAAGACAAATATGAATAACAAAAATAAATAAATTTGATTTTTATTATTTTTTAAAATTTATTTATCTAATAATTAATTTTAAAAATAATTTAATCATAATATATATTTGATATTTATTCATTGTCAGTAGTTATTATTAATTTCTAAAACTAAATCTTAGGGGATGTATTTAATTGGGATTTCAAGTGACATTTCGAGCCTTTTTAAGATTTGAGACTTTTCAGATTTTCAGATTTTAGAGAAATTCTGTGAACTCTATAATAAGTCTGGGATTTGAAGTGGGATTTCATATAAGATTTTTTCTTTAGAAATTCCACAAAATCTTAAAAAATCTTTAATAAATCATAGTCTCAATCTCAAATAAGTTAAATAACTCGGGATTTTGAAAAACTTTTTAAAACTCAATTGAATACATCAAGCTTTTTAAAAGTTATAAAAAGTCTTAACAAATCTAAATTGAATGCACTAGGATTTCTAAAGTATTAAAAAGCCTTTAGAAATCCCAATTGAATACATCCTTTAGATATATGGGAATTGTTAAAGCCACATCGAGATTGGTTTTTCAGTTCCTTTTGGAACAATACTTCCTTTATAAAAATTTGGGTTCCTTTTGGAACAATACTTCCTTTATAAAAATTTGGGTTTTCAATTCTTTTTGGAACTATACTTCTTTTATAAAAATTCTACCTATCACTATATCATGAATGAATAAGAGAATACTATTTCACATGTCATTCCACATTGTATGAGTAAACTAGCACCTACAAAATGCATACATATGTGCAATCACCTTTCCTTACACTAACCAAAAGACAACAAATGCGCAAAAATATACGAGGAAACAAAACTAACCATAAAATGTGATAATCATTTACAAGAAAGCTACTTCATCTTTGTTTCCCATAAACATATATGTAACCGACGGTTTCTATATTAAGCATTGACTTCCACAAAAATTCAAACAGAAACATGGTTGAAACAAAAATCACAACCGACAAGGCTTTCAGATTTTCTTTACTTCTCTTAGACTTGATCATTCCCTTTGAGAATGTTGTACTTGCACAGTGGGCATGTGACATTCATCTTAAGCCATTTCACAATGCAAGTTGAGTGAAAATGATGGTTACATGGAAGAGCATGCAATTCGGTCCCATCCTCATATGGGCAGAGACATATACAACATTCCTGGAAAATTAAACAAGACCAAATTTTAAACAGAGAGCACTAGTATTATAACCACGCCATTCGTACTTCGATCAACAGGCTAAATGAGATTTGCAACTGGCCATGGTAACTTGGTACCACATTTAAATCGAATGAATACATCCTTCTTTCTTGGATCCGAAGAGAAATAAAAGATTAAGACACTTACTCCATCCTCAGAAGAAAGAATTTGGTCATTAGCCATGTACCCACTGCTTGTTTCAATAGGAACCATAGTACCAACTGCAATATTAGCTCTTTCCTCATTCTTGGAAGCTTGAAATCTGTACTTGGGAAGGATTTTCAAATCAACATCTGATGCACCTTCCTGTATAATAAAGTGAACATTCCTAAAATGATGACTTCACAAAATTATTATTATTATTAGGCAAAATTGCATATTAATACATCACTTTTCATGTTTTTGCAATTTAATCACCACCTTTATAATTTTACAAATTAGTACACCACTTTTATCATTTTTGCAAATTGATACATGACTGACGGTTCCGTTAATGTCAGATTTTCGTTAACGGAATCGTCAGTCATGTATCGATTTGCAAAAATGGTAAAGATGGTGTATTAATTTGCAAAATTGTAAATGGTGTGATTAAATTACAAAAACATGAAAGGTGGTGCATTAATATGCAATGTTGCCTTATAATAATAAATTATTATTATATTTATTTTTAAATAATAAATTATTATTATTTTGATTATTATTATTATTATTTTTTATTATTATTATACCTGTCCATCAAAATAAAGAATTGCAATGATGCAAGACAAGCAGCAGCAGAGGGCAATCCTGATCAGACATGCTAAGACAACACAAAATATGGCAAAGATTACATTGAACGCCAAGAATACCACAGCTAACCTGCAGGATTTCCAAGATTAGAGACCTGTCAGGTTTTCTCTTTATGTGATAAAAATATAAAGAATGAGAGTATAAAAAAATCAATAATCAGCAGAATATATTTTGAAGAAAGTTAACAAAACAGACCAATGCAACATGAATAAATGGCTGTTGTAAATTCCCATATTATGCAAACTTCAATTTAGTTAATATTAATCCACAATTTCTTTGGTTGGCAGTTCTGAATCTTATATGTGATGCTTTATCTCTTTCAATCACCAAGTCTTCCTAAGCAATTAGTATCATAGTAGTAAAATGTTAGCAGCATTAGGTTTGAGTTGCACCCCACTTTATTTCTTCCCTTTTTGCTTCCAATTTTGATAATCATATGCAAAGTACTTGCCATCTTCTGCTTAACAGATAACATGCCACATGGAATTATTCGATTTAAAATGGTGGTTGCATATTGCTTAGGAAAGATTCTGCAAATTACAGGCACAACTTTAAATTTATGTTTCTCACCGTACACTTCCTTAACAACAGCTGTTTGAGTTAACTTTATTATGATACATGTACCAAGATGCTACTCCCACCCAGAACTTTAATTATCACTTGCACAATGGTTTCTTAGTTCTTACTAGTGGAAAGTATCGAGGTTATTTCACATAAAATGGATAGTAAATTCAAGAATTACTTAGTAGGGGATGGTTGGTGAGGTGCATTTTGTTAGTGTTATATACTGAAAGCTTGGCTTTGCATGTTATTAGACATTTACCCTTTATGAATGAGAATCATGTTAGATTAAACAAGTTCTACGTTCTGTTGTTTTGCACTTAGATAAGGTGGGTTGTCATCGGGCGAACCGAAGATCACTCTATCAGTCACTTGCGAACAAGAATAGTTGTTCTCAACCTAGATGGACATGAACACCCCATCCGAACGGTTGTAGTGTCAACTGTACAGTTTGTCTTGACTGATTAGTTGCACTAGTACATTTATGTATTGAACAGGATCCCAGAGAGGAGAAGTTCATTTTATACTGATCGTCATAAATGAACTAGGCCTCGGTTAATTACTACGTTCTCTTAACCCGTAAGATATTAAACAGGCAGATATATATAATATATATTACTTTGATTCACATGGGTGAGGTTCAGTTCGCTGGATTAATATTCCTACTGTTTTGGGTAATATTATTATATATAGGATGTGCTGTTAGGGTATTTATATACGAATGTGATGAACGAGCGCTAGCTTCGGTGAAATAATAATAAATTAATTAATTCTTGATTGTCAGTAATCCAATTAATTAATGGACATTATATCTTAAACGTGGGGAGATAAATCGAGTAATTATTATTGGAGTCTCAAATGTAATTTGGGCTAGGAAAAGGGAGTGCAATAATATAATGTTGGTGACCCATTAATATTATTTAATTAATTAGAGGAGTGGGCTTGGCCCACAGTTAGTCTAATTAATTAAGGAGCCCTTTTCCTAATCTCCTAAGGTGCCGTTTACTTCGAGGGATAAGATAAGATAAGGAAAATAATCCCGCGTATCCTACGTTTACTTACCGGGATAGGGATGAGAAAAAGGTGACATGGCGCCCATGTGGCACGCGCCTATCGGTTCTTCTCGGATATTTTCCATCCCGCCTCTCCCACGGGATAAAACCATCCCATCTTCACTTGGACCATGTTGCCCTCAGAATCTGATTGGAAAAGACCAAATTACCCCTTGTTTGTTCCGAATTTACAAGTTTCTTACGAATAAAACACAAAAATCGGTCATTTGCCCTAGTTGCAGAAGCACAGCACGCGACGCCATTGTTGAACAAATCTTGAGCTCTCTCTTCGGATTCCATCAGGTGAGGTTCTTTGCTTTTTATTTTCGTTTCTTTTCCATCTGTCGTCTGTCGCAACTCTCGTAGAACCAATTTTGAAGTCGAGCATTTTCGCCTACTTTCTGCAGAAACGAAGACGGCGACGAGTGTATGCTTCGGATTCTCCGTCGGGTCTAAAGGTGAGCTCCACATTCGCCATATTACCAATTCAATTTCGATTTATGTCCATTTGTGGGAATAATGTGGATTGCCCTAATTACTGACCACGACATTGTTGTGAAGCTGTAAACTTGGATACTCCGTCAGCCCTCAGGTGAGCTCGAAATTCTCTAGTTTTACATCTTTCATTTCAATTTTGGTCTAACTTCTTTACTGAACGTTGTAGTTCTTTTTTTGTTTTGTTTATTTTGTTTTTTTTTTTCAGAAAAAGTTCCAGCTTCAGAGGACGGCATCATCTCCATTCGGCAATTTCTCTACTCTTGTCCGTGCCAGGTGAAGGTAAACAGCTTACCCCTTGGTTGACAAAAGTTATTTAATTGCTGCAATTGGTTTAACTATTTGATGCTCAATTACTTCATTATAACTGCTTGGTGTGCACGATGTTTCACCGCAGTTGAAACAATGGTCATCATATAATTGTACTATGTCAGTAAAATAGAATGGTGAGAACTATGTTCAATTGTTAATGGTTCTTCGAATTGCTGCAAATGGTTGACAGTTTTTAGCCTCACTTGATTTAATGAACTGCTGAGGTTGTCTGGGTGTTAGTAAGTTGTGAAGAAGAATCCAAGTTGCTGTGTCCTGCAATTTTAATAATGCAAGTTTAAGTTTCTGCGAAGAATAATACAAGATTAAGTTTCTGTGAAGAATAATGCAAGTATTTTGTGAAGAAGAAAGCATGTTTACCTTTACCACAAAGAATAATGCAAGTTTCTGTGAACAACATTTTCATATCTGCCCATTTGTGTCTTATACGTTCTACCCAATTTTGGTTAATCTTGTAATATTGAATGCAAATCTGATTGTGGTTGTCCAAAACTGAGTGACATGTCTAAAATTCAGGTGGGTATAAAATACATGTCAGTGTATCCTTGCACATACCCTAAAAAATAAATCCTTACTGTGGGGTGTTAATTTGTAGTCTGAAGAATATAATTTAACCCTTCCTTTCTCTAAAAATGTCTACTACTTACTGAGGCTGCAAATGGTTGACATTTTTTGACTTGCTTGGTTTTGATGAATTGCTGAGGGTGTTTGAGTGTTAGTATTCTGTGAAGAATGAGGGTAGTTTGTGTGAAGAATAATGCATGTTTAAGTGTTGGGCCTGTTCTTATTTCCCTTGTGAAGAAAGCTTGTTTCTGTGAAGAAAGAAAGCATGTGGCTGAAAATATGTGTTTTTGAGGTATTAACAATTGTAACTCACCTGCTGCAAAATCATTAATTGGTTTTAACAACATAACTGAGCAGGAAAATGAAGTACAAAGTGCTGATATGATCACATTTCTTGAATTACATCACCTAATGCATAGTTTTTAAGCATAACTGTCATGATGAGTTCTTAAGCATAGTTTTCTTGAATTACATCACCTGATATGGTCACATTTCTTGTTTAAATTTGAGAGGAAACATCATAGTCATGATGAGCTGGTGGTGAGACCTAGTGAACGCCCACAAAACAAAGAACACATTTTTAGAATGTACCCTGTACAATATTCCTAGTTGTACTAAACTGATTTTGTGGACAATAAAAACTATTGAGATATGTCAACTTAGTAACATCTTAAATTTTATTGCTGTGTGGTGTTGAATGCGCATTATGTTGGGTTTTTAGCTTCATCTTATCTGTATGCATATTAGTGTGTTGGCCATGTATAAGATAGACCAAAAATTAGTGGTGAAGGTGCAACAGGAACAACATATCCATATCTGCCCATTTCTTAATGCTGCTTCTTTTTTTCATTCCCTACTAAATTCATAAGCTTTATTTCAGTTTACTGCAAAAGATATTAGGGTTCAATTCATGGAATGTAGATAAGACTGCCATTAACTTAATTACTTGCAATTATTAAAAAGGTAGGGCTGTCAAGTTGAATCAAAGACAACTAAAGGAAGTGCCTAATAGCAACAACAAATAAACTTTTCCGACTAATTCTCAACGGAGTTTAATTTATAAAATTAAATTGTTAGGGTGTACAGAATCCAACCATTTTCCACTCCTAAAACGACAAGAACTAAGCTGAATATGGAATAGCACTTGAATAAAACAGAATCTACATGTATCTTGTATATTAATAAAGTACCTTCTTTTTTTGCATTTTGTTTTTCAATCTTTGTTGTAGATGGATAACTTGCGAGACAAATTATTAATTCTCACTCTTTTGGAAGAGATTGTTCTTGGTGCTCGTTTTTTTTTTCATAGTGGCTAGTTACTACTACCACAAATTCATACTCCCCCGCCGCCGTCGACAATCGTTGACTAGCGGACTCACATACCGGTTGAGGGATAGAGTGCCCCTTCAAGTGAGTCACATGCAACGGCTAGTCGACATCAGCGACACCACTTGCCTTGAGAACCTCCGTATGGACCGAAACTGTTTTGGTCGCCTGTGTTTCCTCCTTGAAAACAAAGGGGGTCTTGTTCAATCTAGAAATGTTGCCCCAAGTGAACAAGTTGCTATGTTTCTTTCAATCCTCGCACATCACAAGAAAAACGTCACGTTGAAGTTTGACTTTACGAGATCCGGTAGAACTGTAAGCAAGTACTTTAACCGTGTACTTGATGCGGTAATCCGCCTTCACAGCGACCTAGCCGCCACGCCTAAGCCAATCGAGGATGATTGTTCAGATGAAAGGTGGAAATGGTTCAAGGTAGCCTAGCTGAGAAGACCCTTAACAACGCTTAGAAATGTTGTCTTCTGTAGTTATTCCAAACTAATACTCTTTTTTTAATTCCTTTTTGTTCGTTAGGGGTGTCTAGGAGCACTAGATGGTACATATGTTAACGTTCGAGTACCGTCAAAAGATAAGGGAAGATATAGAAATCGAAAGGGTCAAGTAGCAGTGAATGTACTTGGGGTGTGCGATAGAAATATGAACTTCATCTACATGCTTTGTGGTTGGGAGGGGTCCGCTGCGGATAGTCGAGTACTTAGAGATGCGATGACTAGGGCAAATTC